CGAAAACAATCCTGCGTGTTTCGACTTCCGTGCTCAGAATAGGGCCGTGACAGTTTACAATAGAAAAAGTCCTGAAGCATTTGCACTTGGCGCCGATGATAGCTGAGCTATCTTTCGTCCTGCATTGCATTTACTTCAACAAATGCCAAATCTATGACACATTCGTCATGCAGTGCTCACTTCTTCAATTTGGAAATCCTTTTGTAGTTGCCATGTGTTAAGGCATTGAAAGGGCGAGTTTTCCTCTGCGAACACTGCTGATGGTTTGCACGCCATCTTCACGACTGCTTGATCTCATTCAAACGGGCCACTGCATCCGCATTGGTCAAAGATTTGTCATTGAGTTGCACAATTAGGTTACTCACAACGCTTTCAGCGTCTTCACACGCAGCTTCAGTAAGCTGGGCCATCTGCTTTCCAGTCTCAATGCAGTGAATGGCAAAAATTTTCATGTGTCCATCTGCAGTCTTTCTCTCGCGCTTCCTCATGGAGTATGTTGAAGAGCCATCATCTACTGGCGGTGCTCCGGATCCGTCTGCAGCAGCCTTTGGCTTGGCTTTGGCTTTCACTCCCTTAGCCTTTGCCTTTGCTTTGGCAATGGCGGGCTTAGGGCTCTTCTGCAAGGCTCTTTGTCCCTGACCATTGGTATGGTATGGTGCAAAATCTGCAGTGCGCGCAAGTTTGTCATCATATTGATATGATAATATATCAACAAACTGAGCCCAGTTCGTGCTGGGTCTGCAGGTTCCATCTCAGCCACATTTACGTGGTGAGCGACCTCCTGGCTTGTCCAACTTGACAGCATGTTTGCGAACGTGAAAATTTGTCACAACACATTAGTGTCACGCGCAGTCCTCAACAAACGGCGGTTCCGGGGTGATGGCAGAGCTTGCCGCAGTGAGCGGAGGGCGGGGGCCAACCTAAGACTAAATAACTACACAATCATCTGCTAGGCACAAAAAACAGGGCTGAGGACTGCACAGCTAACTCTTGATCAGGCATACCATCACCGCCCACTGCACTGCCTCGGATCATCGTGAACGCAACCCTTTGCAAAACAGGAATAGCGCACTGCGCACCACACCAGTGCTGGCAAAATGCTTGGAGGATCATCTAAAATCTGCACAACTTGCCCTTGGAGGTCTTGCAAGATTTGTGCCCGCACTTCATGTGGTGTTTTTTCTGTCTCCTTGAACCATCTCTGGAGTTCATAAATTCAAAAGTATCAGTGACCTTGGATCATGTTGAGTTGCATGAAGCAGTCCTCAGAAGTCTTAGCAACGGGAATGGTTTTTTCCTTGGACGCAGGAAATTTGCATCACGGTTCACTGGCCACATGCAATCAATTGAAACCCATATTCTTACAAGTTGCATCTGTCCCCCAAGCTTTCCCAACATCATATTCATCCTCAAAGGGTTGCATTGTACGGAAAAGCTCGTGGACCATCTCCTGCTCCCTGACCCAAAGTGGCCAATCTGCGCCTTTACTTTTCGCACAAACCTCAAATGACCGATATGGGCCCACATAGATCATAGATCCACACAAATCCACATGTTCAACGCTAAAGCATTTGAAACCACACAATTTGAGATATGCCAGTGCCAAGAAACTGCAACAGTACTCGCAAATCATACACAACCATCCAAACTACTCCTTCTGGTGAATCTGGTAGAACCCTTTGGAGAACCGCGAACAGAGTATTTTGGTGAACTGATTGTGCTGGCACCACCTTCGCAAGTGGCAGAAGAGCCCAGCAATAGTCCTTGATCGTGGATTCCTTCGACAAAGTCTTGCCTTGGCGTATGTAATTGTCATGAGTCATGAACAGTAAATTAAACAATGATGGGTATGGACCCACATCATGGCCCATGCCTAATTTCTTCATGCCAGCCTGAGGGGTGGACATAGTGATACTCATCATCCCACACCCTCACCCTCCACCAGCAGAACCATGGCAGCAGTCAAAAAGAGCCATTTCTGGCTCATTGATTGCCAAAGGCCGCAACATGGCTGCGCAAGGGGCGACTGTGCTGTGGGTCTGCTGTGTGCGCTGTGCCACTTGCGCGTGTGCTGCGCTATTGTGCTGTGTGTGCTGCGTGTGTCTCGGTGTGTGTGGGTGTATATTGCTCACGTATAGCCATATAACAATTTGTTGCTGTTACTGTCGCGGTGTGTACGTGTGTGTTTATTGTTGTTGCTGTTGTGGCGTGTGTGTGTGTATGTGTGGCGTGACCTGTCATGTGGTTGACCTGGGTTTGAGCCACTTGGCTGTAGCATGTTTCATACCAGCGCCAACCAAGATCTACCATTTCCAAAAAAGATCTAAGCCCTTGAGCTTGGGCCAGGCTGATGACATGGTTGATTTGATGCAAATACCATGGTATATTTAAATACATTATATATATACTATATACGCGTATATTTTTGTTTATGAGCTACCATTCCAGAAGCTTAAAAACAAGCTTCTAGAAGCCAAATTTTTTTGACTTCTGGAGTGCTAACATAAAAATGCTGATGACATGGTTGAGTTGATGCAAATACCATGGTATATTTAAATACATTATATATTTATATATATTATATACGCGTACATTTTTGTTTATGAGCTACCGTTCTAGAAGCTAAAAAACAAGCTTCTAGAAGCCAATTTTTGACTTCTGGAGTGCTAACATAAAAATGCTGGAAGCCTATTTTTTTAGTCAGAAGCACAAAAAAATTAGCTGGCAAACGTTTTCAGAAACTAAAAAAACAAGCTGCCAGACAAAAAACAGCTGGCAGTCAAAAAATTAGCCTTCCAAAACTGGCTTCCAGGAGGGTGGGACCCGTCAAAAACTACCTGAGATGGCACTGCGACATCACGAACGTATTTTCGCCACACGGTCTGCCCACACAAAACAAGCAATCATATCACACGATACCGCCAATCATCCCGCTCACCCACGCACTACATTTGCACTACAAACTGGCCAGGTCTGAGTCCAGCTCCACAGGTGAAGTGCCAAGTCTCCAAAATGAGCGTTTCGTACTGACTTCTTCCTGCAAAAGTGAAGCGCCAAGTCTCCAAAACCAGCGTTTCGCACGAGACTTCCTCCAAAAGTGAAGCGCCAACTCTCCAAAACCAGCGTTTCGTACAAAACTTCCTCCAAAAGTGAAGCGCCAAGTCTCCAAAACCAGCGTTTCGTACAAGACTTCCTGCAAAAGTGAAGCGCCAACTCTCCAAAACGATCGTTTCGTACGAGACATCCTCCAAAAGTGAAGCGCCAAGTCTCCAAAACGAGCGTTTCGTACAAAACTTCCTCCAAAAGTGAAGCGCGACCAACTCAAAGCGCAATCTCAACTGCGTTTCGCGCCCTCGGCATGCGCGATCTCCGCAGAGGGTTCCGCGCGACCAAACTAAAACGCACTCTCACCTGCATTTCGCGCCCTCGACACGCACGATCTCCGCAGAGGGTTGCGTTTCGTGGTGCTCCGGCGGCACCGTCCCCGGCCTTAAGAGAAAAAGAAAAGAAGACTAAAGAAGAGTGACAGGATACGCAGATGTGAAGATGTGAAGATGAGCAGAGATGTAGCTGTGCAGATGCGAAGATGTGAAGATAGATGTAGATGAGACGTAGTTCTACAAAAGGCGCGCAAATAAGATTCCAAAAGTTTCAAATAAGAATATAGATAATTCAAAGGTGATTCAATGTGATTTCAGTTTTCCTGTGAACAAGGGTGACCTGGAGAAGGGCGCCCACCTGGAGGGTCAACTTTAGTTTGGGGATTGTAGATGTTGCTCACTGTCCAGTAACCTTAACTCGCAGTAGGACGTCAATGTCTGGTTGCTCCCCCTGCTCACGCTGTAGAAGAACTTCTCGAAGGAGGTTGTTGGACCCGAGAGGCGCTGCCCAACACCTCAACCACCTAACTGCGCGGCGGTTGAATCGGAGACGAGGAGCCAAAGAGCGGGAACGCGGGATCAGAGACCAGACAAGCCAACGCCGCGAAAATTCCAAAATTCCATTCCGGATTGGGGACCAATCACGGGGTCGGAGGCCAGAGACGGCAACGCCACCAAAATTCAAAAGGTCTATTCTGGATCGGAGATAAATTCAACGAACTTGAAGTTTTGAGGAACCCACCTTATCGAATGTTGTCACGAATTTACACAAAGGATCCAAGTCACAAGAGTAAATAATCACATGGACCCCGCCACCGCGAGGAACACGCGCGATTCACTGGCCCACTTTGACCCCCACGGTTACCTCGTTGCAGTTTTTCAGCAAGTATGTTTGATACATCAACCGTTTGATCAACAAGCGGCGATCCGATTCGGTCCCAGCGGGGCGATGCTGGGGCGATGAGTGGAAACAAAACACGCACATTTTGTCTTCGCCCCTTTTCGTTTCCAGACACGGCTTTTTGCGCGAAGACGCTTCAAACCTCAAGCGATTGTGATAGCGTGGGTCGCTTAGTCCAATTCTTGTGGAAAAAACAGAACCTGCTCGACAAACAGCCAACTCCGCCGCTAAAGCTGATGTAGAGTGTGTGCTTGATCGGTCCCGAAGGCAAGCGAGCATTCCCTCGGCGCCGTTCACAACCAAGCGAAGCAAAGAGGCAGAAGGGGCGGGGTAGGCCGCTAGAAGAGGCAGCTAATACGCCACTCAGCTTCTAGTCACTGGACATAGCACGCTCATGATTTGGTTCCGGAGGCAGAACAGTTTAACCTGCGGTTTGCACCCGGGATGCGTCTCAAAGAAACAAGCAAACGCTGCTTCTATCGAATTCAGTTTGGAGCAATGAATGAAAGCAAAAGCTATTCGATCCGTCTTGCCCTTGGTAGCGTCTGTATGTTCAAAGATGAAAACGAGCAGGTGAGTTATCAGAAAAATCAAAAAAAGGAAAACTATTATTTAAAACTTACTAGGTTGGCTGTCATTTTCTATAGGTTTATTTTTTCCGCCAACATGCTGCAAACACATTTCGCAAAACGCGCGCGCTGCAGTCTCGGTCCACAGACGCCAAGATGTTCCCCTTCCGTAGCTCTTCGTATCGACCATCCTCCGATTGGGTTTTCTTCGACTTTGTCGTTTCTTTCTCAACGTTTCTCATCTCAAACTTCTTTATGAATCGTTTTCTCAATAAACATGTTTGGTTCCCAAGGACAGGAACACCTTAAGGCAAATTAAGCTGTTGTTCGACTGATTTACTTAAATGAATTTTTAAAACGGTTTTTTCAATTTCGTCCTTGTGTTTTGTATGAGACGAAAGACGACGTCGGGCGCCTCGGGTCCAACTTTGGGCTGGTTCTCGGAGCCTCGGCGAAAACACTTTTGACAAAAAGGTGACCTTGCTTTTCTTTTGACATAAAGATGTCTCCTAAAACCATACAGAAACTTAGCTAAAGAATCAAAACATTGAACACGGCTCGTGGCTCTTCGTCGGACAAAGCGCCTCTGGCTCGCTCTGTCGACGCGACGGCCGAAGGCCTTGAGCAAAATAGTCGGAGAGATCCGCCATTTCGACCTGAAAAAACAAAAAAGCAACGTTCCTTCTTAGTTTCTTTCTTTAAGCTTTTAGTACTTTTCTTCATCTTTGAGCGCTTATTTGGTTAGCAGGATGGCCTGTCTAGGCTCCGTTTCTCGTCTCATCTGCACCTGCAAATTCGCAAGAACAAAAGAAAACAGAAAACGCTTCCAACCAAAAAGGAAAACAAACAAACAAGAATGAAACCTAATAGCAACGGCTTCCTTTTCCTTTCGCGTTTACTGGACAAGTAGACCTTGGAACAGAACTCACGCGTTGACACGCGCGATGCCAACAACAACCTAGCAATGGCCAAGTTGAACCACGTGCGCAAGGGGCAAATTCAACTGGCAGATCGCTTGTAGCTCGCAATGGTTGCAGCCTGTGCACGTACGTGTGAAGCGCCGCCGCTATCGCTTCGTTCATCCCTGCCGGATCAATCTTAGCGCGAGCAATTCAAAATTGGCCCCTCGCCCTACCAATCCGATCCCAGAGCATCCTCGATTGAAAAAATTCAAGTGCACGATAAAAAACAAATTTCAAGCGTCGATTGAAACTTGAATTTTATGATACTTTTTCAAGTGGAGGCATGTTCTTGTCGATTGAAAATTCAATTGAAAAACACATTTTTAGATTGAAAATTCGATTGACATTTGAGAAGGAATACAGTCCTTTAAGTCTTGAAGTTTTTTGACATATCAGTGTACTTAAAAAGCTTTGTCTTATTACTCAGCTGACTGAAAAACTTTGTGTTCTTGTTGGCTTCTGGGCTTCTTGGTAGCTTTGGGCTGGACTGCCCTATAGGGTTCTTGAGTTATCTCCGGGGAGCCATGTGGGTTGTCTGGGGTTGCTGGCTTTGGGCTAGTGTTTTTTGGCTGGCTTTGGGCTAGACAGCCCTGGCTTAATTGTTTTTGCTTTGGGCTGGACAGCCCTGTGTTTTGTTACTGGCTTTGGGCTGGGCAGCCCTGTGTTTTTTTGGCTGGCTTTGGGCTGGACAGCCCTGTGTTTTGTTGCTGGC